CCTCACATTAACCTGAAATTTAAAAAAAAAAAGAAAGAAGGAAAATGTGGCACATGTACACAGTGGAATACTATTTTGCATAAAAAGAATAAAATCCTGTCATTTGCAGCCACATGGATGAAACTGAAGGTCATTACGGTAGGTGAAATAAACCAGGCCTAAAGACAAATATCACATGTGTCACTCATAAGTGGGAGCTAAAAATGTTGATCTTATGGAGGTAAAATACTAGTTACCAGAGGCTAGGAAGGGTGTACTATGTACTAGACCACAAAACAAATTTCAAATTCTATAGTCATATCTGACAGACTGCACTTTTTGTCCACATTATAGTGTAATTAAAAACCAGCAACAGGGCTGAATGTAATTAAAGTAAGTTAACAGGTGGCTCACACCTATAATCCTAGCACTTTGAGAAGTTGAGGTGGGAGGATTGTGTGAGGCCAGGAGTTCAAGACCAGCCTAGGTAACATATTCACACTCCCATATCTCAGAAAATGAGAAAGTTATTCAGGCATGGGTGTAATACCCTCCTATAGTCATGGCTGCTTGAGAGGCTGAGGCAAAAGAATTGCTTGAGCCCAGAAGTTCAAGGCTACAACAAACTATGATGGTGCCACTGTATTTGAGCCTAGTAATAGAGTGAGATCCTGTTGAGATCTTGTCTCTAAAAAATAAAAATAAAAATCAGTAACATAGAAGTTGAAAGTTTTATATGGAAATTTAAAAGCATACTTCTGAATAATTTGTGGGTCAAAGAAAAACCATAATGGAAATTAGAAAACATTTAGAAGTGATAAACTTTTAAAATAGTATGTATCAGATAAACCCAAATTACAGAACATTCTACACAATATCTGACCAGTCCTTTTCAAAACACTTAATATTAAAACTTGACTTTAAAGGTCAAACATGAGTTAGAAATAAAATACTGTATTACCCTTAATACATTTATAAGAAAAGACATTCATGAGTAAGACATTTGCTTCAAGTAGGGAAAAAATGGAGTAAATTCAGAGAAAGAAGAAAATAATAAGAAAAGGTACAAATAAATAATATTTGGGATGAGAAAAAAGATATGCCATGAAAATGTTTATACTAGTATATTTGAAAACTTAAACAAAATAGAAAATGTTTTTGAAAGGGCCAAGAATTCATAAGACAATTTTGAAGAAAAAGAATAGAAGGAGAGGAGAGAGGACAGAGTGCTAAGACTTTAAGATTGTTGTAAAGTTATATCTTAATAAGTAAGACAGCCTGGTAAAGGCACAGGCTGGGTGAATCTAACAATGAAACAGAACACAGATTTTTTAAGGAGATGCAAATGTACAAGATCTGCCAATTAAGTGTGGGAACTTGCCACTGCGTACTTATGTTGGCGGTACTGTACAGACAACTTGTTTCAGTTTTATAACCTTGGTATATCAGTCAGTGTGTCATAGCTGTGTTTCTGTTAATGTGTGGTAGTATCTTAGTGAGCGGTGTTCATTATTGTTGTTGTGTGTTTTTCTGTGCCATTAAAAGAATGTTGGAGCTTGAATTACAGCAATGAACAAACATTAAATTTCTTGTTAAACTCAGCAAGAGTGGAAGTGAAATCAGGAACATGGTAGTCCAAGTTTATGGGGATAATCCCATGAAGAAAACAGCAGTGTACAAATGTATTAAATGTTTTTCTGAGGAGAGGGAAAGCGTCACAGATGAAGAGAGGTCAGGGCTGCCAGTTACAAATGGAAATGATGAAAGCTTTGCAAAAATTCATTGAATGGTATGTCAAATTTGTGGGCTGACTATGAAAAGCTTAGTAGACCAAGTAAACATCAACAGAGAAAAAGTTAGAAAAATCTTAACTGAAAAAACATCAACAGAGAAAAAGTTAGAAAAATCTTAACTGAAAATCTTGAGATGAGGAAGATGTGTGTAAAAATGATCCTGAAGGAGCTCAGCAATGAACAGAAGCAAAGAAGAGTCAAAGCTTGCCAAGACCCTTTGGAGAGGCAAGATGGTGTTTTAGGCCATGTGACAAAACATGGTGACGAAACATGGGTATACCAATATGACCCTGAAACAAAGTATCAAAGTGCACAGTGGAAGTCAGCCAATTCTCCATGACCAGAAAAGTTCCATCAGTCCAAATCAAGAGTCAAAGCAATGTTGCCAACCTTTTTTAATATCAGAACTGTTCATTATAAATTTGTACCAATTGGACAAACAGTTAACCAAGTTTACTATTTGGAAGTGCTTTAAAAAAACTGCATGAAAAAGTTGGATGAAAATGACCTGAACTTTCCTCCAACAACTCATGGCTCTTGCATCACAACAGTGCACCAGCTCACAGGGCACTGTCTATGAGGGAGTTTTTAGCCAGCAAACAAATAACTGTATTGGTGCACCCTCCCTATTTACCTAATCTGGCCCCAAATGACTTTCTTCTTTACTGGAAGATAAATGAAATATTGGAAGGAAGACATTTTGATGACATTTAGGACATCAAGGTTAATAGGACAACAGCTCTAATGGCCACTCCAGAAAAAGAGTTCCAGAAGTGCTTTGAGGAGTGGACTAGATACTGGTGTTGGTGCATAGCTTCTTAGGGGAAGTACTTCAAAGGCGACTGGAGTGATATTCAGCAATGACATCTGTAGAGCTTTTTCTAGGACAAGTTTATGAACTTAATTGGTAGACTTCATATATGAAAACTTTTTATGTAACATAAATTAGTGGGGGAAAGGATGGGCTGTTCATTAAATGGTACTGGGAAAGGTGGTCCTATCTATAAATAAAAAATAAAAATAATCCCTATCTCATAGCACACCAAAAAACATTCTTAATAAAGAACCAAACATGAAAATAAAAGTATAAAAACTTTTAGGAGAAGATATAGAAAGTATCTTAATGGGTTTGGTGGAAAACAATAATTTATAAACAAGAAAGGAAAAGCAAAAATCATAAAGGAAAAGATTAACTATTTTAGCTCAATGCAGTGAACTACAAAGGATTAGCACCCTACAAATCAATTAGATAATAGAAAAATAGGCAAAGATAATAATAGGAAGTTTATAGAAGAGAAATTGAGAATGATTTCAGAGGGAAAAGGGGAAATGTTTAACTTCAACTAACAAAGAAATGAAAAACTAAAACTACATTGACATCTCATTTCGCACTCATCTGTCTAACATTATCAAGAGTTGATGAGGTCGTGGAGCAATGAGTTAGGAATATCAAGTTTTAAAACCACCTTGGTAAATAATTTGGTAATATCTAAGGAAGTTGATGGTAACTCATAGTCTTGAGTGTTAAGTATATATGTATCTCAATCTTGGAGCTTCCTTTAAGAAACTCTCACCCAGGAACACAAGAAGACACTTTTGTTTTTAGTAGCAAAGAAAACAATGGTAGCAATCTAAATGTCCCTTCACAAGAGACTACACATATCTAATGAGAAATTGTCTTTTTCTTTCCAATCCACTTTTAAATTATCTAAAGTAAACTACAAATCTTGAATGTAAGTGCAATAGCTAGGGTTAATTGTAGATTTTGGATAAATAACTTAAATGTCTGATGAAAATTATAGATTTTGGCTTTAAATACTTAGAAAAGGTTCCCAGGGTCTTAAAAGACCCTTACTTTATATCATTCTGTTTTCAATGTTTAGAGATTCTGTGTGATAGTGGACAGCCATGATTTTGTGGAAGCTCTTGACTTTTGTAAGTGGGCAGGTTAATGTGGACTTGAGGTTTAGAGACTCAGAATATAAGATACAACAGTTCATGAATGAAGGAAAGAGTTTATGTATTGCAATACACAGTGGTAAACAAATCAGAGAAAAGAATCATGGCTGAGGATGACTGTATATTCTAAAAAAGGATTGTTAGCCTGTTCTGGGTCACTTTCCAGTTTTATGAATTCTGAAATTCTGAATTCATCATGTTTCTTTAAACAAATTTTCAGAAGAATAGAAGTAATGAATATCTACAGCTTAAAGACTAATAAAATGAATGCCTATATACTTGTCTTCTAGCTTCAGAAACAGAATAAGACCGCTATTCTTGGAAATGAAATAAATTGTTTTTAGACCTTTTGGTGTGGAGGGGATGGTCCATTGGTCCATTGGTCCAATGGAGGGGGCACACCATTTTTTTGGTGTGCCATTTCTTTTACTTGGAAGAGTAAAATCCTTCCAAGATTTTACTCTCTTGCAAAACTATCTTCAGTTTTGTGTAATAATTCTCTAGATTTCCTTCTTAGTTTTACATTTGTATATATGACCCTAAACAAAGATTTTTTTAGTTTTGACTTTTTAAAAACTTTGTGTAAATGAACTCACACTCTGCTTTTCTGTGCCTTGCTTTTTGTACTTAACATTATGTTGTTAAAATAGCTCTAATTCAGAGCTTTTTTACATAGCTCTAATTCATTAATCTCAATTACTGTATAGTTTCTCATTTTAATAATAGTCCACAATGTATTTATCCAATCTGGATTTTATGGGCTATCATGTTTCATTGTAATAAACTATGTTAAGGTTAATTGCTAATGTGCTTAGGTTCAACTTTTTCATATCTTAAGATAACCAAGAAGTTCTAATCTTCCCCCCAACCCCGGCCCATTTTTGAGTCTCACTCTGTTACTCTGGGTAGAATGCCGTGGCATCATAGCTCACAACAACCTCAAACTCTTGGGCTTCAGCAATCCTCTTGCCTCAGTTTACTCACTAGCTGGGACTACAGGCGTGTACCATTATGCCCCACTAGTTTTTGTATTTTTAGTAGACATGGGGTCTCTTGCTTAGGCTGGTATCAAGCTCCTGAGCTCATGCAGTCTACCTGCGTGTACCTCCCAGAGTGCTAGGATTACAGGAGTGAGCCACCACACCCAGCCCTAATTTCCCTTTTATCATTGATTTGAGATAGCAATTAATTAATTTTGATCTGAGTGTACTATTGAGATTTACTTGGCTTCTCTTATCCTCATACCAAATCTTGTGTTTGGATTTACAGTTCCCACAGAGAATGTTGCAACAATTGCTGATTGTGCCAGTGTGATTGAAGGAGTCAGTCGGAGCCGAAATGCTTTGCTGAATGGAGACACTAAGAATTATGACTGGGATTCTGGCTACACATGTCACCAGCTAGGAAGTGGTGCCATTATGGTTCAGTTGGCACAGCCATACATGATTGGATCAATACGGTAAGAAGATTCCTTCTTATTCATTAGTTTTAAAATGGAAGATAAACATACAAATTTTTATTTTGGTGAATTGATGATCTAAAATAACTCTGATAATCCCAATAACTCTGTTCTTTAAATGTTGAAAAAACATTGGGATTGTAGAAAGAAGAGATGACAGTGAGATATGTAGGGTGCTTGTTTGACTTTTCTGGTGGGGAGGAGCACCAAAATTAGACTCATGGAAGAACTTAATCAGAGGCCTGTCTTTGTGGATGGCAAACCTCCATCTCAAGTCTCATTTTGTCTTGATTAGAGATGTGTATAGGATAATGCCAAGAGATGTTATATAGAATAAAAAATCATTTTTAAGCTTTATTGATGACTTTATACATCAACCAAACATCTGAATATGAGATCTGGTTCTACAAGATCTTAGTGACCTTTGTGCCTGGGTTTTTCATTGCTGTTCATTCCTTTTTGTTTTGTTTTGTTTAATATTTTATTTTATTTTTATTGTTGGGGATTCATTGCAGGTACAAGATATGACACACTGAGACCCCACTCCCCTCCCTCCTTCCCTCTCTCTCTTCCTTTCTCCCACTCCCCTCCCTCCTCTCACTTTCTGCTCTCCCCTTTTCCCACCCCCCACCATATCATTAATTGTCCTTATATCAAAATTGAATACATGGGATTCATGCTTCTTCATTCTTGTGATGCTTTACTAAGAATAATGTGTTCCTCTTCCATCCAGGTTAATACAAGGACTGTAAAGTCTCCATTTTTTTAGTGGCTGAACAGTATTCCATGGTGTACATGTACCACAGCTTGTTAATCTTTTCCTGGGTTGGGGGGCATTTAGGCTGTTTCTACATTTTGGCAATTGTAAGTTGAGCTGCGATAAACAGTCTAGTGCAAGTGTCCTTACGATAAAAGGTTTTTTTTCCTTCTGGATAGTAATCCAGTAATGGGATAGTAATCTGGTAATGAGATTGCAGGATCAAATGGGAGGTCTAGCTTGAGTTCTTTGAGGGTTCTCCATACTTCCATCCAAAAGGTTGTATTAGTTTACAGTCCCACCAGCAGTGTAAAAGTGTTCCCTTCTCTCCACATCCAAGCCAGCATGTGCAGTTTTGAGATTTTGTGATGTGGGCCATTCTTACTGGGGTTAGATGATATCTCAGGGTGTTTTCGATCTGCATTTCTCTAGTAATTAAGGATGATGAACATTTTTTCATATATTTGCTAGCCATTCATCTGTCTTCTTGAGAGAAAGTTCCTCTCTCTTCCCTATTGATATATGAGATTGTTGGCTTTTTCATGTATGAAATCTCTATTCATCTCTCTTCCCCATTGATATATGAGATTGTTGGCTTTTTTCATGTGTATTAATTTGAGTTCTCTATAGATCTTAGTTATTAAACTTTTGTCTGATTCAAAATATGTTATTTTAAGAAAGGAACTTTAACTTTGCTTAATTTATAGAAATACATAATTTTTAAACATGAGACTAGTAATGTCCTCAAGAAAGTATACATTCACGCATGGCTTAATGAGGGATATGTTCTGAGGCATGCATAGTTAAGCAATTTCATCATTGGGTGAACCCAGCTGATACAGCCTGATACACACCTAGGTTTCATGGTATAGTCTGTTGCTCCTAGGCTGCAAATCTGTACAGTGCATGACTGTATTGAATATTGTAAACACTTGTAACATTATTTGTGTATCTAAACATAGAAAGTATCCAGTAGAAATAAGTATAAATGATAAAAAATGGTACACTGTATAGGGTACTTCCCATAAATGCAGCTTGGAGGACTAGAAGTCGTTCTGGGTGAGTCAGTGAGTGGTGAGTAAACAGAAATTATGGGCTATACCATAATTTTTTTTTAATAAAGTGATTGTTCTTTAGTATGATGACATCACCAGGCTATAGGAATTTTATAACTCTGTTATACTCTCATGGTACCACCATTATGACTGAAACATCATTATATGGCAGGTGACTATACTTTTAGTTCAAGAGGCTATCTGGTCTTTCCTTTTCTTTTTTCCAACATTCTAAGACCTTTGAAAGGCTAATGTGAAAATGTAAAATAAATGTGGTGTTTTTATGTGTATGTACACACACACACACACACACACACACTTCTATCTTAGCTGCCTGAGGTAGAGGTGTTGACAGGACATGATTGCCTTACACCTATCATGATGCTCTCTCACATTTGCTTTGTTGCTTCCTGTTTCCATTTTAAAGTCAGCATGTATAAAGAAAGAAATACAAAAAATAAGGTCTAGCAAAGGTTTGTTCATGTTGAGCTAATGACCAGAGAGGTCACTGCTGCTTGCCAGGTCCCTGCGGCACCCTGAGGAATTGATGCTGGATTTCCTGGAGAATTCAGCTTGTGGGTTTCTTCATTTAAATTGTGACCTCTTTTTATAAAGTGCCACAGGCTAAGTACAGTGGGCAACAAATCACAGATGGAGAAACCTTTAGTTCTCACATGACAACTCACTTTGTACGCAGGAAGGGGAAAGAGACAAATCACATCTGTCTGGACAAGGCACCAGTACAAACAAACTTCCATGAAATCGCAAACAACACTCCCTCTTTTTCTCAGCTGTGTCCATTAACTAGACGCTCACAAACCACCTATTTAATAACCTATTCTAGAGTTTTTGTCATTGATGATTTAAAAGAAATTGATTTTCTGTATATTTCATGTAACAGTCTATCCCTCTTCACTTTAAAATCTGGAAAACAGTTTTCCTTCTTTTGTCTTCTGGCACGCCTTACAGTCTTCACAATTTCTTGAAGATTACCAATCGTGTCTCTAAGATTACATCTGCAATTTCTTTCAGCAGGCGTGGGGTGTAACTCATCTTGAATCAGGAGACTTGAAATCATTTAAATTGACTGGATACTCTCTTTTTCTTCACCTATTTGGAACTTCAATTTTCTCTTTATTATGTTTGTTCTGCCATTTCTAATTTGAAGACCGGTTCTCTTGCCAATGAAGATTGAAGCAAACAGGCGGCTTAGTAGCTTGGCCTGCTGCCTTTTAAGGTTCTCTGTATTCCATTTGCTTACCTGGTACCCTGGGCCTCCCTTTCCACCCCACCATCTAATAAACAGTGTTCTGTACACATCTCAAACCAAGACATCTAAAATGCAATTCTGTCATCCTCCCGCTGCCTGCTCAAGTCATCTCATTCATTGGCACCACTCATCTATCCAGTGCCTGAGCCAAAAACATGGACATCTTCCTGACTTCCTTCGTTCCTTCACCTTCCAGTACTGCCTCCTAAACTTCCCACAGCCCTTCCCATTTTCCATTCCAGTGCCATTACCATAGTTTCACCATAGTAGTTTCACTTCTGTACCTGATCTTCAGACTTCCATTAGCACTCCCCTTCCCCACCCACAACCATCCCTCACACTGTTGCCGCACCCCATCCTGAAGCCATTCATGACTACTATTTCCCTTCAGGAGAAAGTTCAGACTGAGGCATTTAAGAACCATCTGATTGGCTCGGCGCCTATGGCTCAACCGGCTGGGGCGCCAGCCACATACACCTAAGGTGGCGGGTTCGAATCCCCAGCCCGGACCCGCCAAACAACAATGATGGCTGCAACCAAAAAATGGCCGGGCGTTGTGGCGGGCGCCTGTGGTCCCAGCTACTTGGGAGGCGGAGGCAGGAGACTCGCTTGAGCCCGGGAGTTGGAGGTTGCTGTGAGCTGTAATGCCACGGCACTCTACCCAGGGGGACAGCTTGAGGCTCTGTTTAAAAAAAAAAAAAAAAAAAAAAAAAAAAGAACCATCTGATTTAGCTCTTTGTAGTCTGTGTCTTTTGTGTCCACCCCTCCAGGGCCACCTAACCCTATACTACTAGCACTTTCTCACAGCCTATCCAGCTGTTAAGAGTTTTGCACATGGGTCCCCTCTTACCCCCAGGCCTTCAAAGTTTTGAACACACTGTTCTCATTGTTTATAGTTCTGCCTACCTTCCAACTACCTCCCTTCTTACCTTGCTCTTTCTTATTTCCCCTTCAAGACTCCACTCCTTTGGAAATACTTCTCCAACCTTCTATCATCTCCTGGACTTATCAAGACATCCCTCTTCAATGATCAAGTACATTTTGCATGTAATTCCTGTCGGAGCATTTGTACTATAATTATTTACTTGGTGCCTCCCCCCACATCCCCTGAAGTGTAGAGCCTATAGCAACTCAGAATAAGCTTCTCTTGACAGATCAAATGTGCCAATGAAGTAGTCTGTCAAGATAAGAGGGGAAATTAGGGAACAGTAGGAAATCCAGAAGTTTAGATCCAGCAGGGACCTATGAGCTTGTTGCCAGGGTGACAACTCAGAGACAGACAAGCTCTTCACGTGGCAAGGCCACTGTGGCCTTCTGGCTCTACCTAACAAATGAGAGATGTTGCATCTGACTCCAGAACGGAGTATCATTGGGACTTAAAGCAAGATAGAACAGTGCCTATTTGGTTTTCTTTAAACATGGAATGAAAATGGTTCCCCCAAACAATTTGTATTTTCCTAACTCAGGCGGGGGTGGAGGGAGAATAAGAGCCTGAATACAACTAAAGATGGAATTGTATAACTCAGCACAGTATGAAACCTCTAACTTCCTAAGTCCAGCTATTGTTTTTTCAGTAAGAAAATCCATGCAATTGAAGCCAGTATAACTGGCTGACTGTTCAAAGAGACACGTCTCTGTGAAACTAACATTATGTTGTCAGGAACTGCATTTGCCTCTTCTGTGACATTATTAAGAGGAAAGGGAGAGAGATTTCTTAGCCACCAATGCCCATGGACGCTGCTGGATATCTTGGCAGGCTGCAGTTAGCAGCAGCTGATTTGCCAGATAGACATTTATTGATGGGAAACTAGATCAGTGGCACTTCTTCATGGGGATGGGTAATTGACCAATGATGGGTTGATTAGTCAGTGACATTTGACCCACGACTTCTATTGCTTGTGATGACTGAGTTGCTTTC